GGTCACCTAATTTACCACTCCAGTTAGTAAGCATGCACGCTGCATGACCTAGCTGAAAAGAAATTCATCGTGCAGTCGCAAGGGAGCAGTATACACGGGAATTAAACTTTGTCGACATGTCGACATATTCATAGCAACGTGTACCTGATGTGTGCTGCAGAGATAGACAGTATCCACGCAGAAGAAGCAAGAGAATCGCTTTGCTTCCACTGCTTTATTGCAAACGAAATGCACCACGCAGCAACGTTTTCTCTAAAACATCTGCTTTCAGTAAAGCAGGCCCAATAATGTCCTTTTCACTTAAAAACACGAGAGGTAGCTACACTAGTAGGTATGGAGACTTTGCCTTTCTTAGACAATAAAAAGGAAGAAGAAGGCTTTGCCAGCCCATCCGGATTGATGTTGGTAGTGCCTTAGTGGTCAGATCAGATGGAGCTATAACAGAGCCACTCCTTTAATTGTCTCCCCGCATCATGAAAAAAAGGAGCAGAGGCAAAAATAGAGGCCATTGACGTGATGAAAGAATGATGGGGAAATCAGATAATGAAAAAGACACGTTGATGTGGAAAATGATGAAAAAAGTGATAGATGCAATAATAACGAAACATATGTGTAACCCCCTTTCACTGTGAAAGAAATGCTGACGATTTTATAATTGAAGCGGTTGCTCCTTTATCTCCGGAAAAAAAAGGCCCTTGTTAAGTAACTGTGTTGAAAGGAGCTTTGCGAAAATTGGTCTGGTGGTATGTCCAAAAAAGAAAATCGATCGTGCGAAACATAGCAGCGCACTTCATTCCTACATTAGGCCCGTAGAGATATTGATTAATAACGTGTTCAAAGGGATCTCAATCACTTATTCGCTACACACCATTGTTTTCCGGAAAAAAATCTCTTTCTATCTGGAACTTTAATCATAACGGTCGTAGTTTTTCCGGGAAACTGTCTGATCTATACATCTTCAATCATGACAGTACAACGAACACCAGAAATAATAAAAATTACATCCAGATTCATAAACCACCTAGCGACGACTACAAGCACTGAAGCGAGCCGAAGGCGCGCCGCCGTCATCGCCCCTCCCTCGCGGGAGCTGGGCACAACTTGTTGTAATAGACAGTCGGGAAGTCGTAGTGCTAAGGTCCCATAGGACCAACGCCCCAGAACAGCAACCGCCGCCGATGAAGAGAATTTTAGATCGAAAGAATCCAACCTGAAGACATGTGAACAAAGAGGAACAAAAACCGGATCCGAGCGGATCCACCAAAGACAACAACGGACCAAATCTCGTGAGATCCGTCGGAGACACACCTCCACACGCCCTCCAACGATGCTAGACACATCATTGGGACGGGGGCTAGACGGGGAGAACCTTATTCCATCTTCAAGAAGCCGTCGCCGTCTCGTCTTCTTGAGCAGGACACAACCCCTAACAAAACTTGAAGAAGCACCTGAAATCGGAGCCCTCCCGCCAGCAAGGGCCGGGATCCACCACACACCCATGGCCCTAAGGCCACAGGAGACGTGGGAGATCAGCCGCCGACGGTAGGCAGAAACCCTAGCCGCCTTTTCTTGGATGAGGGACAAAGGGAGGCTCTGAACAAATCATCAATCTCAGGATATTGTGCCGGCTCAGTATCTTAAAAGTACTCATAAGTATAGAATGTGCATGTATGCATTCATAAGGATGAGTGCATATGATCGTGTGTGAACGTCTGTGATTGTACTGTGTTAAAAAATCATCATAGTTGATGCTTTATGAATCATCAGGCCAGACAGATACCAACGTGTCCAGCTCTATAAGGGGTTAGCCCATAAGTACCTACACATTAACATGATTATATAAAACAATAGTATAGGAGGAATAAGACTTAGGCATCCCAAAAATTTGAATTTATTTTTTTCTATAAGGGTGTGTTGTAAAAATCTGTAATATCTAATAAATGGCCT